CATGCTATATTCGGTAAACTAGTTTGTAGCTTTTAAGTAAATTTCGATCTTATTTATGACTTTTGGGTCACAAACTAGCTTATATGATAAAAATGTAATAAAATAAATTATAAGCTAGCTGAAAAAAATAAAATAAAATTAATTGGCTTATTTGAAAAACTACCACAAGATATAAGCTCGATTTTTTTTAAAGATTTCGGCGTACCAAACCAAACTTTTTTGAATCTAGGAAAAATAGATAAGCTAATTAAATCAGCTATAACCTAATCTATATTCTTACCAAACACAACCTAAATTATCTTATCATTTTTTTGTTCCAATTTCAATTGATTCACTCGATTTATTTTCCGAATCGTGTAGGTGAGGTGATATGCGACAGCCTGTCGGCCGACCTTTGCTCGTTTGCAGTTGCATCGTCAGGAAAAAGATGTTCCCTGGAGACCTATTTGAGGGCAGACGGGAGCACGGAATACGAGTGCACCTCGTCGGAAGTGGTGGTCGAGCGATTTTCCGGGCACATCGAAAGCGATGCATGCGTGGCCGCGTGTGGAGTTGACCGCTGGTCAGTCGGGATTTCCTCAGATGCGTTTCTTTCCGGTGATTTTGCCGGTCGGTTATGTTCGCCGGCGTGCTACCAGAGCTGCCCCAACATCGTCGACCTCTACTTCAACCTTGCCGCCGGCGAAGGTAAAAATCGGATTTGTTGTGCACTAAATATAGGCACGTTGATTTGACTTAGTTTTTTTATTTGGATAATTAGGTAATTAATTTTGAAAAATTAAAAAGTTATGGCACCGTTATTTTTCTTTATGTTATTCGTTTGTATTTTCTGTTGCCATAATGAAATTTCCAGCCTCTTTTAATGAGTCCGGTACATTTATTTAATTTATTATTTTTTTCTTCTTGTCATATAATTTATTTATTTTTTTTTAAAATTAAAAAATAAAAAACACAATAAGTGCAATTTGCTCTTTTTTGATTTTATTTTGTTACTGTATTACTTTCTTGCTTGATGAGTTTTCAACTCTAAGTAAAATTTTAATCATACGTAGCTCAATAATTCACTAATTAAACTAGAGGTAATATTTTGGACTTTTATGATTTTAGGGAGATTATTAATGATATTTTAACAATTATTCGCGTAGGCGTACATTTACCGACCTTGTGTGAAAAGCAAAAGTCGAACCCCCGTCGTGCGATGTGGGAGCTTTTTAGCAGCGGTGGCGGTGTGGCCCTTAGTCCGGTGGGCTCGACTGATTACATTATTGGTGCACCTGCTTCGGCACCAGTCGCCAACTAATTTATTTTATCCAATATTATGTGTGTGAGGTTTTACCTTCCATATTCTTTTGAGTTACGATAGAAATTATTGCGATTCATTTGTTTGTTTGTTTATTTTTTTTCGATTGGGATTTGATTTAATATATTTGTGTGATTTCATTTTTGTCTATGTACACATACATTTTATGATAAATAAATTGGTTTATTTTTTATTTGTCGGGTACTCGTGTTGATTTGATTACTGTTGTTCTTTCATCGACTTAATAAACAATAATGAATAGGAGAGAACATATCTTAAATAAGGATGAAACTAGCTTGAATGAAATTGTAGTTATGTACAAACCCTACTAAAACCGTTGATTTTGAACGGAGAAATATTCAAATAAAAATATAGTAAATTGCATTATTAATCTTGCATGTTTTACCATCCTAACTTTTTTGTCCTATTCGAATTGTATTTTTTATTTTTGTCCGGTATATTTGCAAAAAAATTACAAAAAATGTCATTTTCATACATAAGTGACAAAATTGGAAATTTCTTTTGAAAAAATAAAGGACATTTTTGTTGCGAAAATGACATTTTTGTAACCTTTTTGCAGACATACGAGACGAAAAATAATAAATGCAATTCGAACAAGACAAAAAAAGTTTTGGTAGCTAAACATATAGGACTAAAATTGTATTTTATTCATAAAAATAAAAAATAAAACTTGAATTTAGATCTCAAGATTTATTTTTCTTTCTTTTAAAAGAGAATCGGTTCAATTTCGATTTCGACAGTATCTGGAAATAGGGCCCATATTACTAGGACCGACCCAAAAGTGTTAGTGGGCCAAAAGAACGGCCCCAGTAGCCCATTACGATGCTACAACACGCTTTTAATATGGGGATCTATTTTTATTCACACGTCAGCAATTTCAGTCCAACCGTCCAAAACAGAGACTTCAGATTAGTATAAAAACAAAAATTAGAAAAACAAAAGAAAATTATTTGACAATTGAATGGCAAATGACTGTCACTCAGCTGACGCCTACGTCGACGGCGGCGTCGCCACCGCCGGAGAAAGCTTCGCGGCAGTTCCAGGAGACAGCGGCGGCCGAGAGAGCAAGCAACCGATCGACCGAGTCAAAGGACCGTGGTCGCGTGACGAGGACGAAATGCTGAGCCGACTCGTGAGTAGCTTCGGTGCCCGCAATTGGAGCCTCATAGCGCGAGGAATCCCCGGACGATCTGGGAAATCGTGCCGCCTCCGGTGGTGTAATCAGCTTGATCCCGCCGTTGAGCGCAAACCCTTTACTGGTAATTACACAGCTTAACCTAATTTGGTCGCTGGTTATGAAGTTTATGTGAATGCCCTTCTTTTTTTTTGTTACTTTTCTGTTTTGTGCCTCTTTCTTGATAGGGTGAAAAATGGTGGAAACTTAAATTTTTAATGCTAAATAGCTACGAGGATTCAATTGAAAGCTTTTGCAGTGTTGCAATGGGGGCATGTGGCTATAAATTGTGTTGACAATTGAAACCTGAAATAGGAAATGGGAAAATTCAATTCATAGCATAAAAACAGGCTGCAAGCTTGCATTGCTGCAAAGTTTTAAGCCTTTTAGTTGTGTTGTTTTCTGTGAAAGTTGCTGTATATTACACCTGCTGAAAGCTGTAATATTGCTGC